CCGAAACGCAGCTATAACCGAACCTCAAGACCACCAGAAGGAGTGTCACACAGTGTGCTTTTTAAACACTTCATGCCAATTAATCGTAGCGCTTTCGACGGAAGCAATATTTTGATATGAAACGAAATAGTTTTAAAAGCTAGTGTTATTTCCATTCACGGTAAAATGCGTCAGGAATAAAATTAGCTTTCAAAACCATTTTGTCTCATATCAAAATATTGTTTCTATCGAAAGCGCTACGATTAGTTCGCATGGAGTGTTCAAAAAACACAGTGTGTGTCACTGATCTCCCACGCTGGAGATTACTAAATATTTCTACTGCATGTAGGAAGTCTCGTACACCAAAAACGAAGGCTTAACTATGCTCCGACAAGATCGACCGTAAAGTTTACAAATAAAACACTTGCACCTTGGCGGCATTATGTTGAAACTAAAGAGCTATCTTACGATGGATGTTCTCTTTCATTTATTTGAAAAGGATAATTGATAAGAAAGTCGCTCTGTACAGAAAAACGAAAAATTTTCTGAATAAATTGTGTATTCCGTATTGCCCGAAAAAGTGGAATTTTTAACTCATACACAAATAATGAGTAAATTCAAGTTTTACTTATTCATTTTTTGGCTATTAAAATCGAACGCGAAATGAGGAAGGGGCAATAAAAAGGCAAAATTTTTTGGTTAAAACGAAAACGCCGTTAATTTAACATTAAATAAACTAAAGAAATATAATAAAACTGGTTAAAATAAGGCGATTCTATAAATACGGCCACCAGTATATTTGTAGGGTGAAAAAGAAATAAAAACTAGTGCGTATGCATGTCGAATTTTTTTATGTTTCGGGACACCCTAATATACATACATATTTAAATAATATGTAACTGTACCTACTACTATGCCCTTCATTATAAATCTATGCAAATACTTATGTATGTGTGTGCATAATTTATGAAAATTGTGTGATATTCGGTCGATTTGGTTAGATGCCAAGGCGACATCATAAATCATTGCCTAATTGCATGACCTCAGACCAACAATAACAGCAGCAATAGCGATAGAAATATACATATATATATATAGGGTCATGTCTGCACCTCTAACAACAACTGTGTACGTATTTAAATGTGTATATATGTAAATCTCGACACAATTGCATGTTTTTGAATAAGTGCCCAAAAGTAGGTGTTGACAGTACATAGTATAGTAAAATCATATCAAGCGTGGAATGAAGCAGCAAGCTGAGAAGTTAGAGGTTATGCTTAAGTATAAGCCTCAAGGCCAATTGCCCCCTTGCTAGGCGGTTAATGACGAGTATGTTGTCGTAACGAAACTTTTTTGTGATTAGCATGATTTAGGCTGGCCGTGATATGATATGTAAATGTTTAGTAATTGTGTCATAGCTTTAGGTTAGCAATTGATTTATTGTCAAGTCACTGAAAAGAAAGTTCTGCAAAGGGGTAAGCGTTTGAATGCTTGAAAGTAAAAACTGGGCATTTAAAAAGTGGGCTTTTTTGGCTATTTTAAAGATGGGCATGTATATACCCAAATAACGCATGAACAAAATCTATTTTTGCCTCCCTTTTATTAGCTCAGGATGTAACTATGTAATATTGATGCGCCTAAAAGATGATGCAGCGATTTCTATTCTCAAGTTACATATCTGATGACAGCAGGAATGGAAATTATAATAGCGAGGTTTTAGTTTTTTAAACTATAATTTTATTTATTACATATGTATATGGGAGCAAAATGCGGAACACCCTCGACAAAAACAATTCAAAAATAAACGCTAATTGTTAGATATGTGAAATTTTAAATTAGATTATGTGAAATTTGTGCAATCTTTGAAACTTTTGTTTATGTGTTTTCTGTTAGAGTCAGAATTATCTAATATAAAAAACTTGTGCCCTTGTGTTTGTAGTCGAACTCCTCCGAAACTGCTTGATCGATTTGTATGCAATTTTGTGTGTATATTTGGTAAGTATGAGAAAAGGTTGTAAATAATATTTCATTACCGCTAAGTGAGGGGGGTGTGGCACCTCCCATACAAGCCGAATCTTTCATACTGCATTTCTCTGGAATTGTTCATGGTAGAGTACTGGAACTTGGTACGGTATAAACGAAATCAATCCCATACTCATATAGAAAATGTGGGCTATTTGAAAATGGGCTTCGCGCCTTCCAAGCCTACTGCAACTTATACTAAATTGTATATAATATATATAAAAATTACTATGGTCTTGCCACGCCCAATACGAATTATATGTCGTTGGGAAGCGTAACCTATCGAAATAAGCCATTTGCGAAAAAAATAAAACGCTACATTGTTTAAAAAAAGAAATACAATTTTTCTTGTTGCAGACTTTTTACAAAAAAAAAGCAATTTTTGATTCCCTATCATAAGAGTGACATGAGATAAGAATTTAAAAAAAACTTGTTGCTCTAACAACCGATTTCACGGAAGCAATTTTAGTGAAAATTATTTTAATTTCTTTAAATTTACATGGAAATGGACATAGAAATAAAAATCATTTTCCATTTAAATGGCTGGTGAAACCGGCTGTAAGAAAAAGGGCTGAAATTTACATGTTAGAACTCGTATCACTTGTAGAAAAAAAAACATAGTGGAATTTGAACAAAATGCTAATATAAAATTTTTTTCCTGGAACACTTGGCGAATTTTGCCTTTTATATTGGATTTCTGCAGAACAACGATACTAAGTTATTTAAGACGGCGATGGAAGTTTGCCTTCTGACAACCACCAAACCGTTAAATTAGCAGATAAATATGCCACTAAAAATCGTGAACGTGAATTGTTGCTGAAAATTTTGGACCAAAATGTTAAAAAAAAATAAGTAAAACAAGTAAAGAAGTATAAGTTCCGAAACCATGTAAAACGTGTAAAGAAAATTGACAAAAGTCAATGGTAGCAATAGAACAAAATCGTAAATCACTGTAAAGTGTCGGTAATGCAGTGCATAGGAACAATTTACATTTTTTCGAGCATACATTTTAACCTAAATTGAACTGTGAAATATGTTTGGCCGACCGATTAACAATATTGTTTTTTAAGCTTTAATTATTTTTTATCATTGCTATGACCCAAAAAAGAAATTAAAGGTATTCTTATAACCTTTCCAACCATATCCACATTTTGAAAATCACTTCAATAATTGTCGAAATAAATTGCAAATATCGAAAAACACATTTTTATTACCCAGCACCTACCCTATTAATTTACATCAACAATTTTTTATACCGTTAGAATCAATGGAAAAAGGCGCACCATGTCCACTTTACCTTCTTTTTCTAGCTGAACTTAGGTTGTCAAACGAACTCGTAGTGCTGAAAATTTCCAGTATAATATTAGTTTAGATACTAAAACATAGATCAACTCGCATACAGCTCAAAAAAATCCTGAACAAATCTGATTAAATAGTAGAAATTTTTGGTGAGTATTTGTTAAATTTCTTCAAATTTATATTAATCTGTGACATTTTATTAAAGCAACTTTTCTCGAAATAAGTCGTTTTCTCTTTGAAGCAATATTTCATTGGATTCCCAAACAATATCTCAACGATTAACCAGCCATAATTACGGTGACCATTCGTACCGATTTTGGCGGAACAGTACCGATTTTGATAAAATTGACCCGCTGAATATTTTTTAAAAGTCGGGACGTATAAATGTTCCGATTTTTCATATTTTTACCGATTAAGTCCCGATTTTTAGTGTTTTCTTTATTCATTTATTTAGACTCTCCCTGTACTCTGGCCCAAAAACAATTTTTCGTACAAACGAGGCAGCACTTCCGTTATCACAAAGGACATTGAATGTAAGTGAGCCATATACATAGCCAGCATATTTATTAACAATATCATAATATAATTAATGAAATTATAAAAAATAATAATAATGCCATCAAAAAAATCGTGGATATGAAAAAAAGCTGTAGATATAGTGTTGAAAATATAATTAGGGAAGAGACATTTTAGCTTTCTTTGGGTATTCCCCTTTCGACTATTTAATTTTTATTCCTTTTTATGAAAGTGTGGCTCGTTATCTAACAAACACCATGTAAGTCAAAATTTTAAACTTTGTACAAAAATTTGCCAAATTCGACAAACATTCAATAAAATGTTTGAGCTTTTTAATTAGATTTCTTAAAAACATTCTGAGTACGCAGTTTTGTAACCTATTCAATTCAAAGCGCAAATTTTAAGTAGCTAGGACTTACCATTGATATTTGGTAAATTTTGTGGAAGGTGTTGCTCATTCTCTCCATACAAAAACAATTTTGAACGCGCAAACAAAAAATTCCCGAAAGTCAACGGTAAGTCCAAGCTTCTTCCAACTTGCACTCTATTATACTAAAATTTAATGGGCTACAAAACTGCATACTCAAACCAATTCTACAAAACCTGATTAAAATATTTCCAGTTGTGATCAACATTTATTCAAATTCGTCGAATTTTTATAAATGATCTACAAATTTTTAAATTTTTTATTTACATCCTTTTTTAAGATAGTAAGTTATATTTTCTTAAAAAATATAATAACATTTTTCAATTATTTTTTTCTCTTTGTTTTGTTCTAGATAAAACTGTATTAAGCCTTTTTATTCTAAAAACAAAATTGTATGTTCGGATTCGATGCTTTAGAAATGTCCCGATTTTTGGCCACAGAAATCTGGTCACCGTAGCCATAGGTGTAGTAACGGATGCCATTTTACTATAAACTTAATAAAAAATATTTAATTTTTCAAGCGGAACTTATTATTTTTTAATTTAAAGTCAAAGTCCTTAAGATATTTAAAAAAAAAAACAGAAATTTTCTACAAAGTTTGAAATTTTGATTTACGTAGTTTTTTAGATAGTAAGCTATCTTTAAAAAAAAAAAAAAATTTTTTTAAACAACCAAAAATAGCCTTCCCTATTTACATTTTCACCATTCATTACTAAATTTAACAAAATATGTAGACAATTAAGTTAGAGCCACCTACCTTTTTATCATAAACGCCCTTATGCCGCAAATTATTCGCCAACAACTGTGGGATGAAAGAACAATTGCCGCACGTGATTTTCAGCCGTTTTCCGGTATTAGTTAATATTTTCGTTGTATATGATTTTAGAGTAGAGAAACAGTTTTTAATTTTTGTAATAACCGCTCTTTACTATTTCACATATGTATGTATGTATAACAATTTTCAAGCCCACAATATTTGAAATATGCGCACACCTGAATAATTTTCTCAATGTGACCACTGATGTCACCACATTATTTTGTGTGCAATATAATCACAATAAATTGCCAAAACCGCGCGAAACGACCGCAACAACGCAAAGCAATGCAACACAACGAAATGCTATACTACACAACAAAAGCTTACACACAAATACTACATATGTATATACCTATATGCACTCAGATGTGTAAATTTATGATAGATATGTAGGTATGTACGTATGTATGGCAATGGAAACGCACACAGCACTTACTAAACAATTTGACACTTGCAGCATGCAACGACGCGCGCCACCTACGCAAACAATGCACTACTCGGCACACACACAATGCAACTTGAATTGTTAATATGGTTGTGCAGTGTTTGTTGCAGCGACAACGGAAACGGAAGTTCAAAGCGCGCGCACACACGTCCAATGTCGAAAACAAAAATTGCACACTTCTGCGCTCGTGTGTACTTACATATCGCTCGTATGTATTGTAGGTAAGTATTTGTGTGTTCAAGTGTTAGACTGGCGAAAATTGTTGCAACTGCAATGGCCACAATTTAGCTCGTAGCTCGGCTCGTTGTTCGGCCGTTTAGAACCGCAAAGCCGTTTAGTTACCGGTTGGCTGAGTAATTTTACGCTACGCATACGCGCACACACACACACACACTCATACACAAGACGATTGACGCTTGTGCACTAGCAACAATACCTACGACCGCAATGGCAATGCAACAATAAGCACTAAAGCAAAGTATGGCAAGTTGCCGGTTTGCAATTGTAATTTCGTTATTTCGATTTGCTTTTTTGCTTTTATTTAACCGCGCCAAGTGCAACCACAACCCTAATTTCAATAAAATGCCAAATTTGCTGCTTACCGCATTTGCAGTGGCGGCGCGAAATTCGCTGCAAAGCTTAGATTTTGCAAAACCAGATAGATGCGTTTAATCTATGACGTCGACGTGTCGATGCGATATTTGCAAATAGAGGCAAAAGGTGCTGTAATAGCAAATGCAATGCAACATTTGCTACTTGTTTTATTGTTGTTTTTTTTTTTCGCTCTCAAAGCTTGCATGTGCAGCAAGTTATGCACGCACAGTGCCAGCTACCAGCTATTCAACACAAACACTTCACACTGCTTGCAATTGAATTGTCTTTAGTAGCCCAACAGTAGCAGCGCATAAGCCGCATTAACTGACCGACATGCCCGAATAGGTCTACACATTCAAACGCGACGTTAACACAACGCTAGCCAATACAATACCACACAACGCAACGCAACGAAATGCCATACAAAACACAATATCACACATCCGTCCGCATCGGCGACCGATGTCAACAAGCTACAAATTGCAACTAATTCAAATCCAGCAAACGGATTACTTCCGACGATGATGCCGATGACGATGGCGATGATGATGACGACGACAACAACGATGGTAGCCCCGACGGTGGCAGTGGCGGTGGCGGCAACAGCAGCAGCAGCAGCAGCAGCGTTGACGATCAGGGTTACCAATGAAAAACTTTCTTTCCTACCAAGAGCTGGTTCAAAAAGCTACCAAAATGGCTCCTTTCCTACCATTTGTTTTAATCAAGAAAACGCCGTTTTTTATACTTAAAATAGGATATCCAGTAAACAAAAAAGATCAGAATAATAGCTATTATATACATATAGCACACACAAAAAAGTGGTGTGTGCTTTTAACCAGACCCACCTACCGACATGTATGTCGTTCCCACGACAGTCGGGTCTACGTAACCGGAACGACCCAGATAGATATATATCTGGCCAAGGACTGCCACCACTCCAGCAACACTCCCCAAAATCTCTTTGGGGAATTTGTATGCTGTTACAACAACAACAACAACCGACATGTATGTATTTCGGCCCACTGAATCCGAATCTGAGATCAGTTTAACTTATAAACCCTCAAAATTTCGAGTATATTACGAAAAACCGAAAAAAGTGGCAAAAAATGCACAAATGAATAGTTTTAATAAAGCCTTCGGAGTAAACGACGTGAAAAATCGTAGCGGAAAATAAAATTCGTCCTAGATTTTTTTTTTTATCGCTCAGTACATTAGACTGCATCACCAAAAAAAGTTGGTTGGATATTTTAAGACGTCCATCAAAATATTTCGGAAAAATATTAAGACCTAAGTGAGCTGGACCGATTTGAAAATAATTCCAAAAATGGAGTTTTTATGAATAAAAATTGTTTCTTAAAGAATTTTATGAAAAAAGTCCCCCCAGATGACAAAACAGATTAAGCTTAAAAAATCTGCATAAAAATAATTAAAAATCTTTTCAACGGAATCGCAAGAATGAGATTTTTGATCCTGTTTTTTACTTTTTTTCAAAGATTGAGTGACGAAAAACATGAATAACTGGGCCAAAACTATTCTGATTTAGATTAATGGGATCTCAGTAGAAAGGTATTTCTACGCTATTTTTACTTCTGTCCAAAAAAAGTCATTCGTGTCCCATTTTTTTTCAAATACCAACACATCTTAATTAAACTTTGAATGACGTTCGTTCTTCTTACCTTTCTCTTTCATCGTTTGAATGAGTTTATTAGCAAAGAAATAAATAGGGTGAAAAAATACTTCCTTTTTGGTTGTTGTTGTTTCCGACAGGGTGGGTGTATGATGTACTTTGGAACGAATTTCCGTCATTCCTTGTCAAATTTATAAAAAAATACCTTTCCAATGACACCTGACAAGCCTAAATCGGAAGAGTTTAGGTTCAGTTATTCAAATTTTTCTTATACCAATCTCTGAAAAAAGTTAAAAAATAACAGCATCAAAAATTTCATTATTACGATTCCGTTCAAATTTTTTTTAATTTTTTTTAAATATTTTTATGCAACTTTTCTAAGCTTAAACCGTTTTGTCATTTGAGGGGATTTTTACAACAAACATCTTTAAGAAACTATTTTTATTCATAAAAACTCCGTTTTTGGAGGTATTTTCATCAGTCCAGTTCGCTTAAATCTTAATATTTTTCCGAAATATTTTGGTGGACGTCTTAAAATTTAATAGATTTTATAATTCCAATGGAAAAATAGTACCGATTTTTTTTTTGTATGGGGAGTGATGCACTCTAATGTATATGTAATATATATATATGTAATATACATATTGCCAAGTCTACTTTTTTTTTATTTAGTTTGTGATGTAGAATGACAGATAATGCGAAACTACATCGATTTTTGTCTCTCCTGAAAAACTCCAAGAAATGGACTTGCGCCCTTTTCACCTTTAGGTAACGATATATACATTAGTATGGTAAAAATAAACCAAATGTCCGCATTTCAAAAAAAATATATATATCTCATTTATAAACCTGTGTCCTACCATCCTACCAAGGAGAAATAAAACCTACCAATTTTGGTAGGAAACCCTGATGACGATGCGATGAGCTGTGCTACCGCAGCTTCAGACAAATGGCAATAACAAAAGCAATTCGAAAAGCAGCAGCAGCACAAAGCAGTCATTTTCCTGCAAACAGGAGTAGTGTTGTTGTTGTGCTACTACCTCTACTACTACTACTACATATGTAATGCTACAACAACCATTCCCTTCGCTTGGTTCGGCTTTACTATGCTTCGTCTGACGTATCGTCAATGCTGGCATTGGCAACGATTATTGGCACGACGTAAATTACGAAGGCATCGGCAATGAAACGGATATGCTGGCGGACGACCTCGGCTAATGGCAATAAATGCTACAGTCAAATTAACAACTGCAGCAAGCAAAAATAATAGCAAATACTACAAAAAAGAACAACGAAAACAGCGAAATAACGGCAACACTGCCTATCTGGCTGTGTTAAGCTAGCATTTGCATGCATACATATGTATGTATATGTGTTTGGGCGCCTTGGCATATGCCTTGCAATTCGTTGCTTGCATTAACTCTGCTGTTATGCAGCATTTATGGCACTCTCCCGTTTCTCCTCTCTTCTCTCTCAAAATTACGTTCGCTCTCTCACATTTCGATTGCTCTCATACACTCTCGGGTTTTTTCTCTCGTAAATAAAGCTTTTCAATTACACTTTCTCTGCCAAATAACAGAATAGTAGGTTCCTAAGAACAGTTTTACCAGTGCTAGCTCAGCAGCTAAAAAAGCAATGCCAAACACAAAATCGAGCTGCGGTAGGTCAAACAAATCTCATATTTTTATTGTTATGCAAACTGTTTTCCCATTGAACGAGATCGGAAAATTTTTTTGGAAAGCGTTGACATTTGAATCCCGTTCATTGTTATTCTCTGTATCCGAATGGGAGGACACAATTCAAGATTTTGCCAGTAATATATTTTAAAACTCAACTAGGAGCTTGAGATTATAAGAAAGGAAAGTAGGTCTAGCATTTAAATTTAAATTAGGAAAATTATTATTTTTATTATATTAAGTATATTTATTTTATACATTATTTTAGCAAGCTCAAGTTTAATAACCAAAATTTACCCAAGTAGGGAAATGTCATCGAAATATTCGAAATAAAAAAAATATCGTCAGGCTGATATGGATTAATAGGCATTCATAAACGAAAAATTAAGGTCCATTTGGAGTGCTCCTTACATTTGTTTTACGTTTACAGTTGGTCCCCTTTTTTCAGATAATAAGAAACGCTTTAGCAGTTAATTTTACAATGCGTCTATGATTGCATCTTTCAATTCCTTCTTACTGCTGCGGGTTCCTAAGCCCTACGCTGCGTTAAAATACCCCGACAGTTCACCAGCGCATTCAAATTTGGGCTATTTCCGAGACATAACAACATGTAAAAAGGTGAAAGTGCTTTAATATTTTTTTTTTGTTATTTAACACTGGAAGTATTCCTTACGATAATTCCCATTTTTAACATAACATTTTAACTTTAAAAAAATTTTTTCTTTAAAATTTTTCACATACAAATTTTTTGAAAATATGCCATCTCAAAAAAAAATTCAAAAAATTACTATGGTAGCTCTGAGTATTACTCACTAAATACTTGACATCACTTATAAATGCAGTTCCGCTCTGATTCTCATTTAGAAAGCTTTTAGAGCGCAGTCCGTAGTTGTGATAAAATTGACTAGTGGTTCTCTTTTTTTGTATGTATCTCTCACTTATCACACTCCTTTTTG